GATGATGCCTCCGCTTTCAATAATAATAATGAAGAAATTATAGATTATGTCGTTTCTAACATATGAGGATTAAGATTATAGAAGATGATGCAATCTTTATACTTTTTGGCATTTATTTTCCAAACATTTACAATCATGCAATAGTTAATATATAACATTATAATTATAATTATGCAGTAGCTAATTGTCTATTGCTTTATAATTATAATATATATAACATTTTAAAAAACAGTAATATAAACTAAAATATTTATATTTTAAATATTAATAAATCTTACTATTTTATAAAAATAAAACCTATTAAAATATTTTCTCAAAAAATTCAAACTTGAAAACATAGCGCAAGTCAAGTCAAACAATAGCTTAAAGCGATACCTGTTTAAGAAAAAAAAAAGTTTAAAACGACTAATGTTTAAGCTAAATTAGATTCGCTTTCAATCATATGCGCTTATAAACATATATGTTTAATTTCTTAAACGACTTCAATTGTTTCTTCAACTATGGTCGCTTAAGACATGTCAAATTTAAGTGACTAAAACAAATATTCAAATCTCAAGTTTACATTGTTATTTAAGTATAATATATGTTCTATTTGAAGCTTTAGGTTACATTTTGTGTTTCGGTTAAACTTTTTACACATTCGCTTAAATCACTATTTTCTTCTTCTTTATTTGAAGCGAACTTCTTGCCACTCAAACGATTTTTGTGAACAAGTTACTTATAACAAAAATATTTCACTTATTATATAATATTATGTTTGCTCTTTGATGATGTTCTCACAACATTTTGTGACTAACTTCAAAAGATGTTATTTCAATGATGACATGTTCAGTGACAATCCTTTTGTTACTAATAGTGTCACAATTTTTTTTCTTCCTATTTTGTCACAAATGCCATCACAATTTGTAACCACATTTTTTATGTCACAATTTTTTGTCACAATTTTTTTTTGTTAATGTAATATGTTAAAAACACAATGACTATTCTTTCAATTTTTTAATTGATTAAAAACTCAATTTACTCAATTAAAACAAACTATATTTCCAACTAAAATCTTTTAAAGTGAAATAACTTATTAAATCATATTTTTAATCAATTAAAATATTATCTCTTCTTTTTCTGAACCTAGAACAGATAAGAACATGTTCACATATTAAAATCAAATTTTAATCCATTAAAATACTATAAGACTCTCCTCTTTAGTGAAATTAAAAATATTAAATCGAATTTCTAATATAATAAATGCTCTTCATGTCTAACCCAATATTTTAAAGAATATTTTAATATATTAACACTTAATTTTAATTCATTAAAAACTTTGTAGAAACTCTAAATCTTAGTTAAACACTTACAAATAAATAATGGTCCCATAATATATTAAGAAAATAACTAAAATATGATTAGGATGAATCACTTATAACTAATATTTGATAGATCGTTTGATTATAAGAACAACTCATGATATAATCTATTAGGTTATCTAATTAGAGTCAACTGATTTCTCATCCAATTTCATCGTTTGGTTGATTTGCTGATGTCTTTCAAAATAATTATAATATTAATAATGCATTTTAAAATGGTTCATTTCTTGATTAATCTATAAAAATATCATCATTGTGATTGGATTTCTCATAATGGTTTCTTTGGAGCTTTTATCTTCAGATAAAGAGTGAATATAGATCGTCAATTATATAATGATATATACATATATTAATATTCAATGTAATGAGTGGTGTTCTTAAGTATAAAAATTGTCATCGTCAATCTTATATATAAAAAAATGTTATTTGACGTATTTCAGTAGTGAGATAAATCATTGGCGCACGATAATGTGTAGTGAGCATAATATATGATTTTTGTCCTGTCAGCAACGTATCATCAAACCAAAATGAGTCTGCATCAGGAGTTAGTAATGACACCATTAGAAGGGACAGCGTTAACGACAAGGTGTAGAAGATACATAAATTTAATCAATGATCATAACCATCTCATCACGTCACCTACTGCAATGTCAAATATAGGAAAATTGGAATTTTTTTTTTTTTTTTTTTATGTTAAAGGATCGAACGCTTGGATGTAATTTACCCACGTATTATGCTGCCTATAATTGTGCCCTAATCAATTAGCAATTAAAAATAAATAGTTATATTTTGAAAATAACTCTTTTCATCTAAACCTCGTCTAAAGGGGTGAGCACATACTCATCTCTCTCTTTTTTTTTCCTCTTCTTCTCTTCTCTCTTTTCCCTCTTCCCTTTTCTCTTTCTCATTTTTCTACGCTAGTAACTCACTTTTATACTTTTAGAAAATTATTTTAGTTTTAATTTATTTTTAAATATTATATTATGACAAACTTATTATTTTAAGAGATAATTATAGTTATATATATTTAATAATTATATTTTTGTCACAATATTCTTTTCTTATAATAATAAAAATATTTAAATTATTTAAAAATATTATAATTTAATACATTATATTTTAAAAAAATTTATGGGATAAAATTTGAGGTGTTACATATGAGATAAGATTTATAAGTATATCAAAATATAATTCTCTAATTAAGGATTAAAGGATAAAAAAGAATTAATCTTTTAGTTTTAAATTTATGATAAATGTTCATATTTCATCTAAGAATAAGAGTATCGTGACCTTATATCTGCTATAATAACTTCATTTACGATTTATTATCATGTTGAAATAATTGTTCACTTTGAACACCTTAATGGATTAAAGACAAAAAATATATATAAATTCTCATTATTCTCAACTCTTAAAAAAATTATGAGAATTATAAGTATATATTAAACATAACCTTCCCATAACTAAATAACGAATAAGAGATAAGCAAAACTTTATCTTCAATAATCAACATCAATGTTATATCTAAAAATATCATTACCTTGTGGTTATGATACATCATTATATTCTAATTATATATATATATATATATATATATATATATATATATATATATATATATATTAACCTTAATCTTACTTTTTAATCTACAAACATGAAATGAGTCAATTGTTGACATAAAATTCTGTTGATTGGGCTTCACTTATCACAGCATTTTGTCACGTCCTTGTTTCTCGAACTTGGTTGCGTGCGGCTTTAGCCTCTCGTGCGTCCTTCGCAACTAGCTAAGTCAGACTCACCTCACTCGGGATCGTGCTCGGTGTGTGTAAGTGTTTTGGCTAGAGAAAGCAAAAAAAGAGAACTTGGAGGGAAAATGTTTTTATTACTCAAACTCTAGTACAAGTGAGCTCTCAAAGCTTGGATGATTTGCAAATGAGGGGACCTCTTCTATTTATAGGCACCACCTCCTCTAGGGAATTTTCTAGATCCTTCAAGAGTCTTGGTCTTTCTAGACCCTTCCACACAAATCCTACTCTTTCTACACAACTCAAGATGATTTTTGTCCTTTCTACAAGTCTCTACAAGGTTTTAGGATGTTCTTGTCCCTTCTACAAATATCTACATAATTCTGGAGCCTTCTAGAAGCCTCCAGTCAAAACTAGGCCTTTCTAAAGACTTCTATGTACAAATAACTAGGCTTAGTGATAACCTAGTGGGGAAAAAGGGCAAGCAAGACTCGTGTGCGTACGGGAAGTGATGCGGGGCATTACAAGTCGTGCCCTTTACCAACCTAATAGTATGAATGACTAAGTCTACAGAATCAAAAGGATTCTACTTGAAGGATAAATATGCTTGAGACTAAGTCAGGTAAATTTTATCAATTACGGGAAGTGAATATAAAACACTTTTTATTATAATATATTTAGTATCTATTACGAGTTCGATGTAGAAATGTTTTAATGTATATTAATAATTTAGATAATAAAAAATAATTTATATACATGTTCTTATTTCTTAATTTACTAAGATATTTAAAAAAAAATCATAACAAACTAAAATTTAAAATAAATAATACTCTAGACAGGTTTTAATGATATTATTATCAAGTTGAAATATTTTTATTTTTAAAAAGAATAATATTATTAGACAATTTAATAGGTTGTGAATGAATGGTTGAATCATTAATCACTATTATTCCTTATTATTTTGTCAGAGAAAAAGAGAATAAAGTCAAAATTATGTTCAGTAATCACTATTATTGATTATAATTTTGTCAAAGAGAATAAAAAAGATAATATCTTATAAAAATAAAATGATGTTTTGAAATATATATTTTTCAAAAACATTCATTTAACAATCAATACAATAATATTATTATATTGTTATATATAAGAATATATATCAACATTGTATCTAGTTGATGAACATCATATGTATCCGTGTATAAAATAAACATTGACAAAATACAATCATCAAGTATTTTGACAAATTTCTCCATTTCTAAGAAAAAAAAACTAAGTTTATTTCATAAATTTAAAATTATTATTTAAAGAAACTATACTAAAAAGTGTTTACAAATTAACTTAGACATAAACATATTGATTATATATATGAATTTTAGCAAGTACATAGAATACAAAATAATATATTTAAATGTTCTAAATTTATCTTTATATAAAACGCGTGTTCAGTGTTCTAGTTTGAAACATTGTAAACATTATACATTCTAGGTCACTAAATGTTTGAGATTGTTCTATACTCGTTTTTCTTGTCACTGAAGTTCAATTCTGAATCTCAAAAGAATAAAACGAAATTATTTTAATATAAAAATGCATATGATCATATACTGATAAACAGTTTCTTGCTAAAATGCATTAAAATTTAAAACCATACAAACCACAAGATGTGCAGCAACAAGTTAATAACAAAGATACGAATAATGTGGACGAAATCCAACACTTATCACTAAACTTCAAGCCACTAAACACAACAAAGAAAATCCACACTAAAACCATCTTCACTCCCACAAATCATTGAAAGATCTTTGATATTCAAACCACACGTACGCCAAAATAGGAAAGAAGGAACAAAAACACTGCACTCCCTTGACTGATATTAGACCCAAGTCAACAACTAAAACTATTTCTCCTCCGAGAAGAAAAGTAGCATGTAGAAGTCATCCTTGGTAACTCCACCATCTATCTCTCCACACTTTAACATTGCTTGAAACAGTTGCAGCCAAAACAACAGAACTACATCAGCACCTGCATGATTCATGTACGCCAAGATTGTATTCAAAAACAAAAGTTCGTTATACTTGCTCATCTCAAGAGGCGCATTTCATTCCAACTCCAAAAAATTCAGAACCAGAAAGTCATTGTTCAGATAATCTAATTCCTAATACAGTGCGTAACTATTAATTCATTTATACATAAAATCTGTTCTTAAAACACTCAGGGTTTGCTTCTTACCCCATTGATAGTAGGTTCGATTAGTTTCAATGGCTATTAATGTTGTTACCATTGAAATTCTGGGACCCTCCTTGGTTATTGAAGGAGTCACGGATGTCCCTGCCGTTTGTTCCCGATCCCACAGTGATTGTGGCTCCATGGTAGTTTCGTGCTTCATTTTTGCCGATGCCCACCCCCATTTTATCAGCATCATTAAAGCAAGAGAAACAGCTGCCCATAGCGTGAGAATTGTGGAAGGTCTTTTTCCCAGCTTCTCTTTTACACCACGCCCTATATATATGGTTCTGGACCTTTATATGGAAGATGATCTACATCTTTGTACCTTATAAATATTATTTTTAACTTAAAATTATATACCTATTTTTAAGTTTTAGACAATAAAAATATATAATATATTAAAAACCCAACTCTTGTGGTAAAAATTATTTGTGAAAGAAACATTGAAAAAATAAAAAATGAGGGAACTATAGGGTGAGAGAAGATCAATTTTATGTGTCACAAAGTAGAGAAAGCAAGGAAAAGAGAGCGTGTGAGGAGCAATTGTATGTAGTCTAGAGGAAGAAAAGTTAGAGTGATACTAGGTTTCAGACCCACCACACCTTATTATTCAAAAAAGAAGAGAAGTTAGCCTCTTTTTTTGACTTTTCAACAACTACAAGACAATTTACACAATAAATTTATCTTCTTTAGCCTTTGTTTTTTCTTCTGAGGAAGACCTCTTCTTATTCTCTAGTTTTTTATGTCCGATATTGAGAAAGTGAGCAGATTTGTTGAATTAAAAAACATGTAATTCATCTGTTTGTAAGTGTTTAGTCCACGGTCTAGCACCATTAAGAGAGGCAATTAAAAAATTGAATATAGTTATGCTATTTGTTAATCGTTGTTGGCATCCTGTTTATTAATATTTAGTATTATTCCCTGCTTCAGGTATGTATGTATGTCTCAACGTTCCTTTGTTTAAATTAAGGTAACCAGACTTTAATGTACGTTAATACATATAGATTGGAAGCATGTCGATGATAACGTGTTTTTCCCAAAACATCTTCAAAGCGAACGCGAATTCCATCATGATAACCCTCAAACAAACAATTTGTAGGTAAGCCAATAATTAAAATTCATGTGTACACACTATATTATACTCTTGAAAATATTAAAATCATGCTATCTACCATCATCACACACAAATGCTATACCCTATAAAAATATCAAAGACACATACTAATGTTTAAATGTGCGTTTTTATAACACTCTCCATTTTATAACAATCCTATTTTTTATTCTAATGTTGCATGAATGTTTCCTTATGTTATGATAAAACAAACCCTATTTTCTCCTTTGGTGTGTAAAAAAAAAAAATATCAGTTAACTAAAAGTTGAGAATTTTTTTATACAACAGGTTGCATTGATATGTAGCCGATTATAATATATATTTGAAAGATATTAGGGCTCCAACACACATAATTAAGATGGTCCCCACCAACGCTTAAAACAATTTGCATGACTCAACTCCGCATCCACCCATTTAAATTCAAAGAATGACCCGAAGTCTTCAATATGTAATTTAAAAAAAATCTTACATGATACCTTACATGTGTATTTTATGGCCAAATTAAACGTTATGCTTTTTGCAAAGTAACAAATTATTTGTGTAGGTACTTCTATTTTATTTTTCAAAGATTAAATATTATTTGAAAAATAAACTTTAGAAATTTCAAAAAGGATTTGAAGAATAGTTTTGTGTTTGAAATAAAATACTCATATTTATTTTTTTACGTTTTATGGGAAGATCTAACGATGTACATTTTGCTAAGATATCAAGAGTTACAAGCAGAAAATATTTCATAATTTTGAGGATAAATTTGTTCATACTTAATTCTGGAATAAAATTAAACAAACACATAAATACTACCGGGGTTTTCTTTTCTTTTGAAAATGTCACTACTATAAAATTAGTTTTTTTTCTGCCAATTTTCTTGTAAAAAATTGTTTAAATTTATAGAAAACTTATTTCTTGCAATTTTTATAAAACTTTTACAAAAATATTCCCATTAAAAATGAGAATTTTTAATAGTGTGTCAACTATATTTCTTTCACCACAAGAAATTTTATACTTAGCTAGGAAAATTAGCTACAAAATTTATTTTTCACTAATTTGTAGCTAATTAGCTATGGAATAGTGAAAAAATAAGGCTGTGGCTAATCTGTAATAAAATAGCTAGAAGACTAATATTTTTATAGCTATTCTCTTACTTAGCAAAAATATAATTTAGTTAGGAAAATTTTTGTCACTAATCCCTTGCTATAAATATTAACTATATTACTTTTTGAAACTATTTCCTAGCTAAATTGTGTAACATATAATTATAGTTAAACTGTAGCAAATTTATAGCAACTATCAAATTGAAAAAAAATATTAAATTATTGGGAACCATTCTTATAAATTATTTTAGTTTTATAAAAAATTATTTATAAAAAATACTTGTAAATTTCTCTAAAAATATATAATTATAAAAAATAATTTTTGATCTTTTTGAAAAAAATATCAATAAAAATTAATTACAATTTTTTCTTAAAAAATTTATTTTTACCAATTTTACTATAAATATATAATTTTATATATATAAAATTTATTTTTTTTATCTAAAATAAATTATTTAGAAATAATTATAATTTTTTTGAAAAAATATCTAAAAAAATTGATAAATATTTAAAAATATTTTTTGTAAGTTTTTTATAAATTTAAATTTGTTAGAAATATTTAATAATATTTAAATTAATAGAAAAATTTTATAAATATATTTTTTTATAATTTTTTTAGAAACTATTCTTTATAAGAAATAAAAAAATTTATATTCAAAAATACTAATTTTTTTTTATAATTCTTTTAATAAAAATCTAAATTAATTTTTTCTCTCGTCCCGTGCCGCTCCTTGCCCTGCTGCTGCTGCCCTCATCCATGCTGCCTGCTGCCTTCGCTCTCACGCGCTCCCTCTATCGCTCTTGCTTCCGCTCCGCTCCATGCTGTCCTCGCCGCATCCGTTGCTTGTCCTGCGCAGCTTCTGCACATCGCTGCGCTCACGTTTTCTCACCGTAATCTCTTTTTCATTTTGAATATTACTCGTGATTTGAGTTTTGGGAGGTTTGATTTTATTCAATATGTGTTTAAGTTTCATCCATAGTTAATTGTCTATCGCCTAATAGTTTTAAGTTTGTTGTGTATTATTTTTAGAGTGAACTCTGTTCTGTTGAGTAAGTAGCACTATTACGTATACCATGTTACAGCAAATGCAGATTGATCCAAATAAAAGAAAATGTTATAAACTTAAAAAACAATGGTTAATTTTTGTGTGTTATGGATGTAGTTTTATATACCAGAGCACAATTTGACAACCTGGGATACTATGATAACACAACTTGCTAAGAATGGGTTTGCAGAAGATTCAATTGATCTCTTTACTCAATTTAAAAGCTTGGGACTTAAACCTGATGGGCAGATGTTCATTGGAGTTCTATCTGCATGTAGTGTGCTGGGAGATATTGATGAGGGAATGCTGCACTTTGAATCCATGAGCAGGGATTATGGCATTATACCATCAATGGCTCATTTTGTCAGTGTAGTAGACATGATCGGCAGCATTGGGCTGTTGAGCATTCAAGGACTTGATGTTGCACTTGATGAACATGAAGATTGTTGATTTTGATGATGATTCAAGAACTCAAAGACTTAGTGTGTTGAAGACTTGTTTTGTATTGTAATAACTCTGTTTTAATTAGATTGAGTCTGTAATATTAGAGTTTAAGATAGTCGGTACATAGTCTGCACCTTAGAAGCTTCAAAAAGCTCAAATTTATCATCCAGGCTCGACTTTAATCGATTATATAGGGAAATAATCGATTAAAACAGTGAGAAAAACCATTTTCTGTATCAACTCACTGCTTTAATCGATTAAATCTCCAGATAATCGATTATCAGGTCTTATTATCGATTAAAACCCCTTTTAATCGATTAAAACAGAGAGGTTTTGGGTTCTGTTGATTTTGGCTCTGTTTTAATCGAGTATAACTTCATTTAATCGATTATTTCAGTCTGTTTTTGATTTTAAACTTCAAATCAACCCTATTTTCGAAAACCCTATTTCTAAGAACCCTAGTTTTGAAATCTCCAATTCCTAAACCCTGATTTCTCTACTTAAACTCTTCTATGACACTCAGAAAAGAAGAACAACCTTTTCCATACAAAAGTTAAGTGCTGTGAGTGCCAGAGAACTATTTGTTGCAAGGAAAGGGGGCTTTTGGAACCTGGTATGGGCTAGAAGCGATAAGAATCACTAAGTGGAGTTCTTAGTGGATTGTGTGTTGTGCCGTCTCTAGGGAAAGTTGTTCATCATCTCTTGTGGATTTCAAGAGAGGTGTTTTCGTATCTTTATCTTCTCAATTGTAATATGTTTGTAACAACTTGTTTATAGTGACAGCGTTAATCCTCTGTTGAGTGATTAACAACTGGACGTAGGGTCTTTTGATCCGAACCAGTATAAATCTCCTGTGTAAGATTTCTATCCCTTCTCTATTTACATTTACATAGTTTTTAATCGGTAAAATTTGGGAGAAATTTTTGAAAACCTAATTTTTATTAAGAAACCAATTCACCCCCCCCTCTTGGTTTTTGTCCGACCACGCGATCATTCCACTGCGCGATTCTAACAAGTGGTATCAGAGCTTGCTTTGATAGTCATTCAAATTTTCGAAAATGGCCGGACAAAATCAAACTTTTGCCGAAGGTGCGTCTATCAACAGACCCCCACTTTTTGCGGGTCAAAATTATCCTTTCTGGAAGGTACGTATGCAAATATTTTTAGAGTTTGTTGATAGAGGCGTTTGAGACGCTATTTTAAATGGTCCATTTGTTCCTAAAACTACTGAGAACGGTGTTGGCGTTCTTAAACCTTTTTCTAAATGGACTGCAGAAGAAAATAGGAAAGCCCAATTTGACGTTAGGGCTAAAAATATTATTTCATCTGCTCTAACACTTGACGAGTTTTATAGAATTTCTGTTTGTAAAAGTGCACAGGAAATGTGGGAAATGCTTAGAGTGACCCACGAAGGAACAGACGACGTTAAAAGAGCACGCAAAAATTCTCTAATCCAAGAGTATGAGATGTTCCGGATGCAACTAGGCGAAACGATCTTTGATGTACAAAAGCGTTTCTCTCATATCGTGAACCATCTCACCGGACTAGGTAAAATCTTTGATGTTGATGAATTAAATGTTAAAATTTTGAAATCTTTGGATAGGAAATGGCAACCTAAGGTGACTGCCATCTCGGAGTCACAAAATCTTGTCACAATGTCTATGGCGGCGTTATTTGGAAAGCTTAGAGAGCATGAGCTTGATCTTGGAAGGCAAAATGAGGAAGAAGGTCAATATCAAAAGAAGAACCTTGCCTTCAAAACCGAAATTTCCAAAGGTAAAAATAAAAAGGAAGAAGAAGAAGACTCGGAAAATGATGAAGAGGAGTTGAGTCTTATGATAAGAAAGTTCACCAAATTCATGAAAGCAAAAGGAAGACATCCCTTCGAAGGTAAAGGAAAGGTAAGAGAAAATTCTTCTATAAATATAAAATGTTATGGTTGTGGTGAAGCAGGGCATGTAAAGACCGAATGCCCAAACAAGAAAAACGATGAAAACAAGGGCAAAAAGCAATTCAAGAAGAAAGCCTATATTGTCTGGGACAATAGTGACTCAAGTTCAGAATCAAGTGACTCGGAAATAGAAGCAAACATTTGCTTAATGGCAAATGACAACATATCTTCTGATTTTGAGGTTAGTGATTCCGACTCATCTTCTAGTGATGATAATGATCATGATGAACTACAAAATGCTTACAATGAATTATTTATTGCCTTTAAGAATTTAAAAAATGAATATAAAGTTGTAAAGAAGAATCTAAGTAGATCCGAAAAGGAAATTGAGTCATTAAAAACTAAAATTACATGTTTAGAAGAAAAGGAGTTATCTAATACGAAAATTGTATGTTTAGATGAGGATAAGAATTTAGCATGTGAAACTTGTAAAGAGCATGAATATGACATAGATATCCTTAATCATCTACTTGATAAAGCCGAAATGGAAATAAGTGATCTTAAGAAGGATAAAACTGTTTTTGCTCAAAATAATGTAAATCATCAAGTTTCTATGAAAAAGTCTAAAACTAAAAAAAAAAAGAGTATGGGTAGAAAAAGGAACTAGAGCATCTATGGTTAGAAATGCATCATTTTCAAATGCCACATCAAAAGTATGTTTTTATTGCATGAGACAAAGTCACACGTCAAATAGATGTAAAATTAAACATTTCGGTGTACCTAAAGGTAAATTCATTTGGATTCCTATAGTTAAATAGATTGTTATGTCTCTAACCCCAAGGACCCAAAAGTTGTGGGGACCTAAGTTTACTATATTCTTGTTTTGTAGGAAACTTCCAAATCAAAGAAGTCTATGTGGTATCTTGATAGCGGATGCTCAAAACATATGACCGGAGATAAATCTAAATTTGTAAGTTTCAAAGCTAAGGAACAAGGATATGTAACTTATGGGGACAACAACAAAGGGAAGATCCTTGGAATTGGAAACATAGGTGGTGCAAACACTTTGAAGATCAAGGATGTGCTACTTGTTGATGGACTTAAGCATAATCTCCTTAGCATAAGCCAATTATGTGACAAAGGCTTCAAGGTAATTTTTGAAAGTAAATTTTGCACCATACATTTAATAGATTCTGAAAACGTACAATTGAAAGGCATTAGGCATAACAACATATATTTGATTGATTTGGATTGTTTGCATGAGTCAAGTATAACATGTTTAGTTGCTAAGGAAGAGAACCCTTGGTTATGGCATAAGAGAGCGGCTCATATAAATATGCATCATTTGAACAAATTGATCTCAAAAGACTTAGTTATTGGATTGCCTAAGTTAAAATTTGAAAAAGATAGATTGTGTGATGCATGCCAAAAGGGTAAACAAGTAAAATCATCATTTAAATCAAAGAATGTTATTTCCACTTCAAAACCCCTAGAATTATTACATTTAGACTTATTTGGACCTTCTAGGATAAAAAGCTTTGGTGGAAATTATTATGGATTTGTAATTGTTGATGATTACTCTAGATATACATGGACATTTTTCCTAACCATGAAAAGTGAAGCTTTTAAAGTCTTTAGAAAATTTGCAAAACAAATCCAAAATGAAAAGGACTTAAGAATTAAAGTTTTAAGAAGTGACCATGGTGGTGAGTTTCAAAATGAAAAGTTTGAGAATTATTGTGAAGAAAATGGAATATTACATAACTTTTCTGCTCCTAGGACTCCCCAACAAAATGGTGTTGTTGAAAGGAAAAATAGGTCATTAGAAGAACTTGCTAGGACTATGTTAAATGAATCTAATGTTCCTAAATATTTTTGGGCTGATGCAGTTAGTATTGCTTGTTATGTTTTGAATAGAATGCTCATTAGGTCTATTATTAAATCTACTCCATATGAATTGTTTAATGGTAGAAAACCTAATGTTGCCCATTTGAAAATCTTTGGATGTAAGTGTTTTGTACTGAATAATGGAAAGGATAACTTAGGAAAATTTGACTCTAAAGCTGATGAGGGCATTTTCTTAGGTTATTCATTAACTAGCAAGGCTTATAGGGTGTTTAATAAGAGAACCTTGAATATAGAAGAATCTATACATGTTACCTTTGATGAGATTGTAGACCTTGGGGGAAATCCTCTTGAGTCAAATAAAGAACTTGCAGGTGATGATGAGTATATAAGAGAAGCTCTTGATGAATTATATTTGGAAGAAAATGAGCCTTCTCAAATGCCTGAATTAGCAAAAGAATGGAAATCACCTAGAGGACTCTCAATGGACAATATCATTGGTGACATCTCAAAAGGGGTAAGAACAAGAAATATGACTAATTTTTGTATGTCTGTAGCTTTTGTGTCACAGATTGAACCCAAGAATGTTGAGGAAGCACTTAAAGATGAACAGTGGTGCATAGCCATGCAAGAAGAACTTAACCAATTTGAAAGAAATCAAGTCTGGGAATTAATTCCAAGGGAAGAATCATATCAAGTTATTGGAACCAAATGGGTGTTTAGAAATAAACTTGATGAAGATGGGAACATAACAAAGAATAAAGCCAGACTTGTTGCAAAAGACTATTGTCAGGAGGAAGGTATAGATTATGATGAAACTTATGCTCCTGTTGCCAGGTTAGAGGCTATACGCCTACTTCTTGCCTATGCATCTTTAATGAAATTTAAACTATATCAAATGGATGTTAAAAGTGCATTTTTAAATGGTTTTATTAAAGAAGAAGTTTATGTGGAGCAACCCCCTGGTTTTGAGGATTTTAGTTTTCCTAATCATGTTTTTAAATTAAAGAAAGCATTATATGGGTTGAAACAAGCTCCTAGATCTTGGTATGAAAGATTAAGTAGTTTCCTAACATCCAATGATATTTCTAGAGGAAAAATTGATTCTACACTGTTTATAAAGAAAGTTAAAGAACATATCTTATTGGTCCAGGTGTATGTTGATGATATTATTTTTGGATCAACTGATAATTCGTTATGTGTAGAATTTGCTAAGATAATGCAGGGAGAGTTTGAAATGTCTATGATGGGAGAATTGACATTCTTCCTTGGACTAGAAATCAAGCAACTTAAAGATGGCATTTTCATCTCTCAAACCAAATACTGCAAAGAGATCCTTAAAAAATTTGGTATGGACACCTCAAAGGAAGCTAACACACCCATGGGAACTTCATGCTATCTAGACAAGGATGAATCAGGTTTGGAAGTTAATCAAACTATGTATAGAGGTATGATAGGATCACTGTTATACTTAACCGCAAGTAGACTCGATATTATGCATTATGTCTGTGTGTGTGCTAGATTTCGAGGCTTGTCCTAAAGAATCTCATCTAATTGCGAGTGAAACATATTTTAAAATACGTAAAAGGAACTACTCGGTTTTGGTTTGTGGTATCCGTCGATGTTTGTATGAGTTTAATAGGATATTCGATGCTTGATTATGGTGGATGTAAAATTGATAGGAAAAGTACTAGTGGGACATGTCATTTGTTAGGTTCATCCTTAATATCTTGGCATTCTAAGAAAGGCATGTGTTGCTTTATCTACCACTGAAGTCTGAATATATTGCGGTGATAGTTGTTGTGCTCAAATTCTGTGGATGAAACAACAGTTAGAAGATTATAGTATCTTTTTAAATGACATTCCGTTGATGTGTGATAATACAAGTGCAATAAATCTTACTAAGAATCCGAGTAATGCACTCTAGGACTAAACATATAGAAATAAGACATCACTTTTTGAGAGATCATATCGAGAAAGGAAACTGTAAAATAGAGTACGTTGATACAAAGAATCAATTAGCAGACATTTTTACTAAGCCTCTACCCAAGGATAGGTTTTATGATCTTAGAAGAGACTTAGGGATATTAGAAATAACTTAAATTCTGCTTAATTTGACTGTTTTTGGATGATTGTAATGCTATAATTCATTTTGTAGGATGTTCATAAGTTATCATGTGTTAAAACACTCAAAACAGGGCATTCCTCTCTGGAATAATCGATTACTTGGAATTATAATTGATTATTTACACTCAAAACATCCAAAACAGGGCATTCTTCTCTGGATTAATCGATTATTTCATCAAATAATTGATTAAAACCGTCTGATAATCGATTATCAGCTTAAAATAATCGATTAAATGCGACTGGAACTGGTTTAATCGATTATTCTGAGTTTTAATCGATTAAACCTGGCAAATATGGGTTCTAGCCGTTGCCAACGGCTCTTTTGGCCTCTATTCACTTCCATGTGACCGTTAGACATGATTGGCTATATATAGGGACCTCTATTTCACTTCTACTCACTTCTATCTCTTGAAATCAAACCTTCTTGCCTTATTATACTCTCTTTATCTCCTTATTCCATCACTTGTCCTTCTAAATCTTCTTGATATTCATCTAATCTTTCAATGGCCTCATCTTCTCGCACTAAGATCCCTACTAGAAGAAGATCTGCACCCTCCTCTCATCCCAGTCCTAATTCGTAGAAGGATGGATCTCCGATGCAGAAGGCCAACAAGAATTTCGACCTACTTGGAAGGAACGGGCTATTATTTCTCCTAAATTTCTTATTGGTGAGCAATTCATTCATAGGGGATTCAATTTTCCTAATCTTCTTGAAATTCAAGGAGTTCTCCCTTTTATCCAAATGCAAGGTACGTACTATCCCGACTTAGTTAGGGTATTCTACTCTAGATTCAAATTTAGAGATCAAATTGCTACATCCCGTGTAAAAGGGGTTACAATAATTCTTGATGATGATATTTGGGAGAATGTTGCTCACTTTCCAATTAGAAAAGATGTTATTAACGTATATGGTGAGCTAGATGATTTTGACAGGTTCCTAGCGTATCGCTCTTTTCTGCGGAATCCCTCCATGGAGATTGGACGTATCCTTCATGCTGGACCTTTAAAGAAGGAAGAACGCATGATTCTACATTTACTTGTATGGATCTTATGTCCCCGGGCTACGAATCATGCCCAATGCTCTTCCATTGATCTTCGAATTATTCATGCCATAATGAATAATGAACCTTTAGATTGGGGTGTTCTTGTCACAATGACCATGTTAAAAGCAAAACGTCATCCCACCTTCAAAATTCCATATGCCCTTCTTGTCTCCCGTATTCTTGAATATAAAGGAGTGAATGTTGAAGGTGAACAAGCAGTTAGAACAAACAACTTAAACCGCATGCTAGATAGTACATTGATTCACCTCCAAATGGTGCGAGTCAATGATATTTATGTTCACAAAGATGACGTTCCTAATCAAGGGGATGCTAATGAAGATTCTGATGAAGATATGCCTCCAGCTGCTGAGTTTCCCTCTGACCAAATCCAAAGTGTTGGAACTTCCTCTACTCATCATGAAACCCGACAATCCATGGAAGACATGTTATCTGACATGAATCAGAGGATGCAGTCATTCTTCACTCTCTCTGGAGTACGGCATGAGGAAATAATTCGACGTATATCTGATATAGATGATAAAGTGTGTCGATTAGAAAATAGATTTGATGCACACTTTAATGATGATGATAGTGAAGAATTTTAAATTTTGTTGATTATTTTCTTATTTTTCTCTTGTTATTGTAATAAATGATTGTTTCTGCAATAAAATATGATGTTTTGTTATTACTTTGATTGAGGGGGAGTTATCTCCAACTTATGCATATTTTGAGGGGGAGCTCTTATGATTGTTATTGCAGAGTTCTTTTTGATTATAATCAAAATAGGAGGAGAAATATTTAAAGCCTCTTATAAATTGCATTTAAATATTATCCGGTATGTTTGATGTGTTTGTTAGTATGACGGATAAAACGAGGTTATTACAACGGCTTTAAAAGATAATTTTGATCATCATCAAAAAGGGGGAGATTGTTGAACATTCAAGGACTTGATGTTGCACTTGATGAACATGAAGATTGTTGATTTTGATGATGATTCAAGAACTCAAAGACTTAGTGTGTTGAAGACTCGTTTTGTATTGTAATAACTTTGTTTTAATTAGATTGAGTCTGTAATATTAGAGTTTAAGATAGCTGGTACATAGTCTGCACCTTAGAAGCTTCAAAAAGCTCAAATTTATCATCCAGGCTCGGCTTTAATCGATTATATAGGGAAATAATCGATTAAAACAGTGAGAAAAACCATTTTCTGTATCAACTCACTGCTTTAATCGATTAAATCTCCAGATAATCGATTATCAGGTCTGATAATCGATTAAAACCCCTTTTAATCGATTAAAACAGAGAGGTTTTGGGTTCTGTTGATTTTGGCTCTGTTTTAATCGATTATAACTTCATTTAATCGATTATTTCAGTCTGTTTTTGATTTTAAACTTCAAATCAACCCTATTTTCGAAAACCCTATTTCCAAGAACCCTAGTTTCGAAATCCCCAATTCCTAAACCCTAATTTCTCTACTTAAACTCTTCTATGGCACTCAGAAAAGAAGAACAACCTTTTCCATACAAAAGTTAAGTGCTGTGAGTGCCAGAGAACTGTTTGTTGCAAGGAAAGGGGGCTTTTGGAACCTGGTGTGGGCTAGAAGCGATAAGAATCACTAAGTGGAGTTCTTAGTGGATTGTGTGTTGTGCCGTCTCTAGGGAAAGTTGTTCATCATCTCTTGTGGATTTCAAGAGAGGTGTTTTCGTATCTTTATCTTCTCAATTGTAATCTGTTTGTAACAACTTGTTTATAGTGACAGCGTTAATCCTTTGTTGAGTGATTAGCAACTGGACGTAGGGTCTTTTGATCCGAACCAGTATAAATCTCCTGTGTAAGATTTCTATCCCTTCTCTATTTACATTTACATAGTTTTTAATCGGTAAAATTTGGGGAAAATTTTTGAAAACCTAATTTTTATTAAGAAACTAATTCACCCCCCCTCTTGATTTTTGTCCGACCACGCGATCATTTCGCTGCGCAATTCTAACATGGGCATCTGGATGAAGCCTTTGAGTTCATTGAAAAAATGCCAATGGAGCCAAGTCCTGATATATGGGAGACTTTGATGAATCTGTGTAGAGTTCATGGGAACATTGGGCTGGGGGATCGCTGTGCCGAGCTAGTTGAGCAGCTAGATTCATCTCGTTTAAGTGATCAGTCAAAGGCTGGCCTTGTACCTGCAAAAGCCTCCGACTTGACAAAAGAGAAAGAAAAGAAGTTAGCAAGCAAAAGTCTGCTTGAAGTAAGGAGTCGTGTCCATGAATATCGAGCAGGAGATACATCTCATCCTGAAAATGATAAGATATATGCCTTGCTTAGAGGTTTAAAGTCACAAATGAAAGAAGCTGGCTATATTCCTGAAACAAAATTTGTGTTGCATGACATAGACCAGGAAGGCAAAGAAGAAGCTCTTCTTGCTCACAGTGAGAGACTTGCTGTTGCTTATGGTCTCCTCAGCAGCTCTGCTCGCGCTCCAATCAGGGTTATTAAGAACCTCCGTGTTTGTGGTGATTGCCACACATCATTGAAGATTATTTCTAAGCTTGTAGAGAGAGAACTCATTATTCGAGATGCAAAAAGGTTCCACCATTTTAAAGATGGGCTATGCTCCTGTCGAGATTATTGGTGAACGTGAACTTAAGGTACTGCCTGCCTCTTGTTAATGTTTATCCTTTGTTATTTGATTGGTTGCTAAGAATTATATAGGAACTGCAATGACTGCAAATTGGTAAGCAAATTTTTTTGCTGCATGGGTACTTTTCAGCTTACATGAAATGTATCCACTCTCTTACACCCCATATGTTTTGTTCAATATATTGTGTGCCAATTTCTAGAGTATGTACTATGTCCAACTATGGTATGAAATTTGCCAGTAAAACCCTAGCCTGGATGTACTTAATTGCAAATATGGGGAAGATACATCAAATCATCATATAGTTGATTCTGATATTTGGATAAAGACTGCTGGTGAAAATAAAAAAGGTAGAATTTATGGTATAGGTCAGAGTTTGGATCTTGGTATTTCACATGTTTCATCTTCATCAGTTGAAGGTCCTTCTTCCCAAAATCTTACCACACCTCTCACTGAAGAAATCACTACCTTAGCTACACAGATATCTAGTTTGCAAGAGCAGATGAAAACACAGTTGTAGGCACAAACCGATATGCAAGCATTGATGCAAACACAAATGAAGACACAAGCGTAAATGCAAACACTCATGCAACAACAAATGCAAGAAGAAATGCAGTCTTTCAAGAAATATTTATTATCTGCCTTAAAGAAACAATGATGAAAATGTACTTTAAACTTTGTTTCTATTTTTAATTGTGTTATACAGAACTTTTTAGTTAAAATATTATTTTTGTTATGTTTTAATTGTTAGAAACATCATTTTAACTATGTTTAAACAATACTTTTATATTGAAAGTTGATAAGTTTGTCTTCTTTTTTAAGAATGAGTAATAATTTAAATCTTAAATATTTGATATTATAAATTTTGATAAAAATTATGAGAGATTAGCTATGAAATAGTGAGAAAAACATTGCAAAGGATTAGCTACGGATTAACGAGGAAATAATTATGAGGCATTAACCACTAGCTAGAGATAAATTGTCAGGGATTAACTACAGATTAACGAGAGAAAAATTGTGAGGGATTAGCGAGAGAAAAATTGCGAGGGATTAGCTACGGATTAGCGAGAGAAAAATTGCGAGGGATTAGCTACAAATTAGTGAGAGTGAAATTGCGAGAGATTAGCTACGGATTAGCTACAAGTTTTGGGAGATCAAATTAGCTAGGGATAAACAAAATTTCATCATTTAAATTAGCGAGGGATTTAGCAACAGTTTAGCGACAAAATTTGCTACAAGTTTGAGAGAGAATACATATGTATCTAATTAGCTACTTGGATTTAGCTACGGACTATTCCATAGTTATTCCGTAGCTAATCTGTAGCAAAATATACCAGCAAGAGGTTAGCTAGAAAATAGCTACGAAATGTTTCATAGCTAATATGTAAAATTCTTGTAGTGTTTCTTTATATAAAAGTTTCAAAATTCAAGAACAAATTATATTTCTTTCTTCATATGATAAGAAAAAAAAAAGGAATTACAAGGAGATTTTAAGGGAAGAATCACTGCAACTTTCCAAGCTAAAAACCTATTTTGTTCAAGGCTTCTAAAATAAAATAAATATAACATATTTACAAATGCTGAAACAATCTTCATGTGTAGCACACATAAGTACAATTTTAAAAGAAGTTATATGTCTTACCATGTTCTTTACCATTAATTTCAAGGGAACAAATAATATATTATCAACAAATAATAAATGAATATAAAAAATATATGAAAGGGTAAGAGATTAAATTTATAAATATATAAGTAAGTATATTTAATAATCATTAAGTTAAAAGTTAAAATCATAAATGTTAATATAAGTTACAAAACTTTGAGAGTTATGACCTCTTCACCTCCAAAAAAGCTTTCACTACTTACCACATTTTGGGAAGAATTCATAAGAACAAGGAAATATTAATATTTATATATCCTTTGATTCATAAGAACATAGGGGTATGTATTCTTCATGGGGCATTTACTTGACTTTTGAAGAAATAATCATAATAACATTGTCAACTTATAAAGTCGAGTATGTAATAACATCATGAACTATGTGTCATGCAATATGACTTAAAATTTGTTGAGTTTGATGGAGGAGAAACAACTCAGTGCAACAGTGGTCCAAGTTAATAACAAGTCGATCATTGAACTTAGAATGAATTCGATCAACCATGAGAGGAATAAGTATATTAATGTGTGTTTTCATTTTATTCGAGAACACGTGAAGAAAGAAAATGTGAAGTCATGCATCTGACAAACTGAGATCAAGTTGTTGATATTTTCACAAAGTCATTATCTAATATGTTGTTCAAGAATTACAAGAAACTGATCGGGATGAAGGATGAAAGCAGTCCGGAGCTCATAAAGTTTTGAAGTTCGACAAATCTATGTTAGAATTAATTTAATTAATTCATTCTATTAGGTGACTCATGTGAAATATAACGATGGACTCAAATGTGATTTAATAAAATATAAGGACCTATTGGTTATTATGTGAAGTCAGAATAAAATAAAGATAAAATAAAATAAAAACTTATGGTAACCAACTTGATGGATATTGGTTAATAAAAGGGATTAGGGTTCTGTATCTGACAATAAGGTCTTTTTCACGATAAACCATTAGGAAAGCGTGAAAAAAGAAAAAAATGCAAAGAGATAGATTGAGAAAAAGGAGGTTGGAGTTAAAGAACAGATTCTCATGGATCAAAGTTAGTCTTATTATGATTCATGTATTTATGTACGTTATATTGTGAAAATCAATAATCTAAAGATCAAAGTTAGTTTTCTAAAATGAATTAAGAACGTAGAAAGACTACAAATTAACTTACATATGGTATCAGAGCATGGTTATTAGATTTATTATTTTCCTCTTATGATAGTTTTTCCCAAATTATGTTTTTCCCAAATTAAGATAAACCCTAATTATGAATTTAAGGATTTCTCTATCAGATTAACATGAACCCTAATTTATTCCCAAATCTGTTTTTTCCAAAATTGAATAAAGGAATAAATCCTAATTTATGTTTTAAGCTACAATCAATTTCAAATTGAAACCAATTTTATAGCCACTATGCATGAATGACTCCGTAATTGATTTTAATTGAAAAGGTAAATGACGTGATTGAGTTAGGGTGGATCATGTATGAAATTGATTTCACTGTATATTATAGTAACGATGGAAGAAATGTAAATGGTAAAGTTGATATTTTGTATGTTTTTACTGGCAAGTGCTGTCAACATGCATCATGCACCATGCTCGTAGAACACATTTACCAAACCCATGTTTCTTTTTATTATGTATGATTATTATATGTCATGAGAGATTTTTTTTGTTCACGTATTATACGTGTAGTAAATATTTGGTGACTGCTGATAATGCACTGTCACGGATGTGCCCAATTTTACTTTACGTAGTACGTATAAATGAATGGTTGCCACTGTTATGAGATGTACCCGTGTATAAATGTCTTAATTGCAAATTTTATTTTGCAAATTGAATTGAATTATTTCCATTATAAGTTGCGCATAAAATTTTTGAATTGACAATTTCAATAAAATTAAGGTCTTAGGATTGTAAATCAATCCTATAATGGAAATTGAAATTATGGGTTTCAATTTTATTTATGACACATAATATTTTATTATGTGAATAATGTACATATTTTTTAAAATTAATAAAAAATGCTATGAATGGTTATTAGTAATTAAAAATGTTATTTATTTGAAATTAAGCATGATAAATTTTGTTAGTCACCAAAGTGGCCAAAATTTTAAGGTTATTTTGATTTCAAATTATTAATGATTTTATTTCAATTACCCATAGTATGAACACTAAAATTGTGAATAATTGATTTATGAGTTAATTGAAGTTCATTATTATAAGACATTTCAGGATCACCCAAAGATTGATTAATTGTTATTATAATTAATGAGCATAAAGGTTGATAATTTTGTATGCGTCACTAGTTTTATTTATATACCCAAAGATATTAAGTGATTCTAGTTTATGCATATTTTAATTATCATTAATGTTATAAATGATTAGCGTAATTATGCTTGTGTATTAGTGGATCTCCCAAAGGAGAACATTAGTATGCATAGAATGGTTATTTATATTTGAATCTGTATTTATGTTTAATTTTTATGACTCAAAGTGTTAATGTTAGGCATATGTTAATTGCAGTATTTGTTCATATAGCTCTACATTTGCTTGCTTCGTTTGTTCTAGTCTTTAATGGATTAAATTTCTCTGACTAGAGTGAACAAGTCCAATTTCACTTAGGTGTGTTGGATCTTGATTTGGCTTTCCAAGTTGAAAAACCAGTTGTTATCACTGATGTTAGTAACAATGAAGAGAAAACTTATTATAAAGCTTGGGAAAGATCAAACAAACTTAGTCTTATGTTTATGCGAATGAGTATAGCAAGCAATATTAAGTCTACTCTTCTTAAAACCGAGGACGCGAAGGAGTTTATGAAATTTGTGGAAGAGTGCTCTCAAACTGTTGACAAATCCCTTGTTGGGACATTGATGAGTATGTTGACCACCATGAAATTTGATGGTTCTCGTAGTATGCATGAACACGTAATTGAAATGACAAATATCACATCAAGACTCAAGTCTCTTGGAATGGCAGTAGAAGAAAATTTTCTTGTGCAGTTCATTTTAAACTCGTTACAGTCTGAGTATGGTCCGTTCTAGATGAATTATAACACAATGAAAGATAAATGGAATGTGCATGAATTACACAGTATGTTAGTCCAAGAGGAGACTATACTCAAGAACTTAGGAAGCCACTCTATTCATTACATGAAAAATCAAGGAGCTAAAAAGAAATTTGTTAGGAAACATGGAAAGGGTAAAGGACCATTAAAGATTAGGGAGTCCTCTACTAACATTTAGAAGAAAAATGACAAATGTCATTTCTGCGAGAAGTCTGGACATTTCTAGAAGGACAGCTTAAAGCGCAAAACTTGATTCGAAAAGAAAGGTGAGCATAATGCTTACGT